TTTTGGTAGGAGGGTCTCATAAAGTGAGTTTGGAAGTATGTCCTTCTCTTCAGTGTTTTGGAAAAGTTTGAGAAGAATTGATGTTAATTCTTCTTTACATATTTGATGGAATTTTTCCAGCGAAGCCATCTTTTCTTGGGCTTTTCTGTGTTGGGAGGTTTTGATAACAGATTCAATCTCTAATAGTTACAGGTCTGTTCCATTTTTAAATTTCTTCATGAATCTTAGTCTTGGTAGCTTTTATGTTTATAGGAATTTCTTTTAAGTTATCCAATTCATTAGCATGTGATTGTTTATAGTAGTCTCTTGTAATCCTTTTTATTTCTGTGGCATCAATTCTAACATCTCCTCTCTTCATTTCTAGTTTTTGTTATTTTAGTTTTCTCCTTTTTATTAGTTAGTCTAGTTAAGAGTTGGTCAATTTTGTTGATTTTTTTTTTCAAACAACTCTTATTTTGGTTGATATTTTCTATTGTTTTTCTGTTCCCTATTTCATTTGTTTCTGCTTTAATCTTTATTGTTCCCTTCTTTCTGCTAACTCTGGTTTTAGGTTTTTTTTTTTTTTCTAGTTCTGCGAGATATAAAAACAGGTTGTTGATTTGAGCTCTTTCTTCTTTTTAAATGGAAGCATTTACCCCATTTCTGTCTTAGTGCTTTTGCTGTATCCCATTAGTTTTGATAATGTTGTGTTTTCATTTTCATTAGTCTCAAGATATTTTTAGTTTCTCTTGTAGTCTGTCCTTTGGTCATTGATTGTTCAAGAGTGTTTTTTTAATTTCCATATATTTGTGAATTTTCCAGTTTTTGTTTTTGTTTTTTGGGTTTTTTTTTTTTTTTTTGCCTTTGATTTCTAGTTTCATTCCACTGTGGTCAGAAAAGATACTTAGTATGATTTCAATCATCTTAAATTTGTTAAGACTCTTTTTGTGGCATCACCTGTGATTTATCCTGGAGAAGACTATATGCACTTGAGAAAAACGTATATTCTGCTATTGTTGAATAGGGTGTTCTTTATATGTCTGTTAGATCCAACTGATCTATAGTGTTGTTCATGTCCTCTGTTTCTTATTGATCTATTATCTGGTTGATTTATCCATCATGAAAGTAGGGTATTGAATTGAAATCTACTATTTTTGTATTACTCTCTATTTTTCCCTTCCATTCTGTCAACATTTGCTTCATATATTTGGGTGCTCTGCTCTTAGGTATGTATATGTTTATAATTGTTATATCTCCCTGGTGAATTGGCCCTTTTATCAGTATATAATGTTCTTCTTTATCTTATTATGGTTTTTGACTTAAAGTCTATTTTGTCCATTACAAATATGACTATCTCTGCTTTCTTTTGGTTACCATTTGCATGGCCATCGTTTTCCATCTTTCACTTTCAGCCTGTGGTATGTCCTTATACCTAAAGTGAGTCTCTTGTAAACAACTACATTCCATTTTATAGTCACTTCTTTTGACTCTCTTTAAGATATGGTTTATGTACTCTAAGTGCCTTAAGCCTTTGTAATAATTGTGAAGAATAACTTGGGTCTCCTTTGAATGAATAACTCTACACATTTGAAATGTTTTAGCCAAACCCACTAGCACAAATTTCAAGAACAGAAAAAAACTTTATTATTGCAGTCATGAAATCCATTTGGCTATAAGACCTGCTTTCCTAGCAGTGAATATAAATGTGTGCCCAGCCAGGAAGCACTAGTAGATCACAAAGCTTGACATGGCACATAAGGAGCTAGCTACTCACTTATGCAAATTAGAATAAATTGATGGAATAAATTAAAGATACTTTCACATGCTATACACTTTTTAAAAAGAGACCCACTGCATAATGTAAATTTGCTTATTTTTCCTTCATTAAGCACTTTAATACCATGATAATGGCATTACATTTTAATCCAACTTGGTCAAAAGTTTGATATTTTTGTTTATTATGTGTTTATTTAATATGATATTTAAACATGTGTTAGCACTAAAATGTGCGAAGCGTAATGCAAATGAGGATATATAAATGCTAGACACAAATCTTGCCCTCGTTGAACTTATAATCATGTGGAAGGAGACATACATACCATTAATGGATGTTGTGGTAGAGATAGTTACATATTAGCAGGACAGGGTGGGGGAGGATACTAACATGAATGTGATGAGAACATCCATCTGCATAATTATATTGGCATGCATCCTTTCCCAGTTGAATTCTAAATAAGTTCACACACACACACACACACGCAGCAGAAGTATTAAGGTGGGCTCTGTCCTCTAGGGGTCATCTCCACCAGGCCAGTTGAGAAACTGATAAACCTGACACAGAGTAACATACCCTACAGAGGGCTGCTCATCTTAGCTACTTTACTTTCTATTTAGACCCAGTTTCCCAGGGTCTAAATTCCCACATGCCCAAACACACAAAGAGAGCTTCATAAATATCTTGACAAAATTATAAATTCCTGTTTGGAATACTCACATCTGTATTTTCCAGTAAATGATCCACTTACACAACTTTAAAATAATACAAAATATCTGTATACCATTAAATTTAACTAACATTTATTAATTAAAATTAGCAGTTGAGTTAACATTGGCTTTATTTATAGCAGAGAAATGGGATTATAAATAGAACCAGAATAAAGAGGCAAAATGAATTAAAGTGACATGTAAATATTTTTGTTTCAAGGTAAACAAACCAGAACTCAAACATATTCAGGCTAATTTGGAAAAGGAACTTGCATCTGTGTGCTCAGGACTATTCTCTGGGCGAAACCTCCATAATTCTTTTTGGTGGTGACAGACAAACATTCTCCCCAATCCCAAATTATATACACCTTGTCATGCTCTGAGAATCCTGTCACATCTGCTAATATAATTAATTGCCCAACATCACCTCACAGCTTTGTTAATTCCATCTATTCTCACCTGATGCCCTGAACACCTTTACTCAGAGAAACAGGGAACAATAAATTTGCAAAGGGAACTTGGCATTTAAAGTTTACCTTCATATCATTCTCAATGCAACTGACCTTCAGTTAGTATTAAATGAAATAAAGGACAGTTAACCAGCCCTCTCTGTTTACAGCTACCTTCCCCTAAGAAATATAAAGTCAAATTTATACTTTGTTGTTCTTTACTTTTTATTGTTAGGCTAGATATCATGAAGTTTCCTGAGTGTTTAAGAATTTGTTATTTGACATTACTGAATACATGAGAGATGGGCTAAAAAATGTTATCCAATTCAAAATAAGTTTATAGTTCCTCTATTACTAAATATGGTAAATTCCTCATGGTGGCAGAGTCAGCATTTTTTTCTGGTGAAATATCATGGCAAAGACCATCCCATTAGAGAAAAGATTTTCACAAAGAATGTGGGGTTCAACATTGTTCTACAGTATTAGAATTATATGATTTTGATGGTATGGCCATTTTTGGAAACAGTGTGGCATTTACTCATAAAATTAAACATGCTTTCACCACATGATCAAGTCCACTCCTAGGTATTTACCCAAAACATATGAAAACACGTGCCTATGTAGAAAGTATGTATGCCAATTATTCATAATAGCCAAATATGAATAGTACTGTTCATAAAAGCTAAAAACCAGAAGTAACCCACAGGTTGTTTACTTAATTGATGAGTAGGTCACAAACTGTGTTATAGCCATATCATGGAAGAGTGCTCACCTATAAAGAGAAACAAAATGGATGAATCTCAGAAACACTATGCTGAGTGAATTAAGTCAAACATGAAGGTCTTTGTATTGTATAATTCTATTTAAATGAAATTCTAGAAAAGGCATGATTATAGTGGCAACATGTTCATTAGTTGCCTGGAACGTTGGGAGCAGGAGGGGATCAGATGCAAAGAGCTCAAGGAAAGTGTTCAGGGTGAGGGATCGGTTGTCTATCTTGATTTGGTGCTGCTTGCATGGTAGTATACAATTACTAATAGCATTAAACTGCCCACTTAAAATTGGTGAATTTTATTACCTACAAATAATGCTTTGAGCAACAAAAAAGAGGGAAAAATGAAATGACTTCATCTTTGATACCTGTTACAAATTCCCCAGAATAGTACATGTTCTATGGAAGAATGTGCTCTGTGGTTTGTTTCAAATCAAAAAGAAGGGATGGAAGAAATATATATAGCTGAAAGTATAATAAAACTTTAAATCTCTAAATAAGAGGTGTTGTGTGGCATTTTATACATGTTGGATAAAAACCTGTATGTACAAGAAAGAGTTGGCTCAGTTTTATATGTTTATGTTTATGGATAATTTTTGTAGCTTGTAAATACATTTAAAACTTCTTTGTGGGTGAACTGTAATTGGTAAGATATTTCAAAAGGCAAATGTATTCCTTCCATGGAGCATATTGAGATAAAGAAGTGGCCTGAAAGTCTCTATTGCCTAAGTGAATGATGGTCAATGATTAGCAACAGTATTTATTTACATTTAAACACTGCTTACTTTCATGCTAAACCACATCCCAATCATTCATCTTAATGAATTTTGAGATAGTCTAAAAAAAACCACCAAGATAGCACTTTACAAGAAGAATATTTGGTCTCCTGGAGAACAAAACCGTTAAGTCCACCTTGAGATAAATGGATTATATTCATTTAAAGATTACCTGAAGGTTTGAATTCACAATCCATCTCTCTTGTAGGTGAATCAGATTTAAGTAATCAAAAGCTTGTCAGTGCTGCTGCTTTTTCATTTTCCCTGCATCTAAAATGGTACAGTCAGCAGTAGCTTCCCCCTCCCAAAGTTTTCTAGTTCCAGATAGGGTTTGTTTATAAGAAGAAGTGAACTGTAGCTTTCCATGAGTAGTACTTTAGTATCATGCTTAAAATCTGTTTGCCCAATGTTTCTGTGTTTTCCTTAAGATACGTTAGGATATATTTATTTAACATGCATCCCAACATCTACTGAGCAGTAGGAATTCATACTTGTCATCGATCCTTTCTCCTTTTAATAATCATAATTACTCTGTTTCAGAAATTACACTGTCGTTAATTCCAAAATCATCGTGGTCACAATAAGGCCTGAACCCAAAACAACTGATTCGTTCCTGGAGATAGAACTAGCTCATTTGGCTAATGTAAGTATTGTCCATGTGGCATTGAGTTGCTTATAGAATTTACCTTTAAAAAAAGGTTAACGCTCATTTGATTAGAGCAGAACACATTTTTCTAGACTTTTTAGAGTTATAAATGAAGGGATTTGTCATGAAGGTATATATTATATAGAAACAAAATGCCGGGAGATACCAAGTGACGTGCATGCATTTTTGATAACTCTACTTCTGGTGACTGTATAGTTTGAAATACTGTTTTTATCAAGTTTTATAAAAATGCAGAATTTTGTTTTTAAAAAAAAATACCAGATTATCCTATGCTTTTGTCCGTAATAAAACTCCCTTCAGTTTATCCAAGATAATAATTACTAAATTGTTTATGTATGTACACATCTTTACTGGGCTCTGAGCCAAGCAGTGGAGAAGACCAAGATGAATAAGAACCTGTCTCACCATGTGGTGGGGAAGATTGCCACGTAAATACATAGATTTAAGATGCATACAGCAATAGAAGTTATAAACATAATACAAAGGGGAATAATTAACTTCAGAGTACCCCAGAGTAGAAGAATGGGTGGGATGGCATATGAAAGTGCTAGGTCAAAGATCAGAGAAGGCTCCTTAAAACTACCTGGGTACTCCAGTAATCTAAACCTCTCATTCCAGAATGACAAAAATGCTTTCTTGAATCCATCCAACTGCAACTGAAATTCTTTAAATCTTGTTCAATCCTTCTGTAGAAATTTAAAATTTCTTATATTTTACACATTCACTTTAAATGCTTCAATCATTGATGAGTAGGGACAAGGAAAGTGATTCCTATTAAGGCTCTCCTGATTATACTTTGATACTCCCTGTATTAAACTGAGCCACTCTCGTGTGTTGCATTACACAGTTGTTTTTTTTAATTCCTTGAAAAGTTTCTGTGAAGCAGATCTTTACATACAAATAACAAAAGCACAGAGTGTCATTTTCCCAAATTGATAAATTTGATGAATGACATAACAGAATTTATACTCACATCCTTTAGTTTACAAAACCTATGTATTCTCTCCTATTTTATAATTTTTGATTTCCAAAAAGAAAATGAATCTTGGTTTTATAAAAAAATGACAATAATGTTCCCTGTAAACCACTTTTTACTAAAATGGCTCAGGCTTCTTAGATTGTTTAATGAAGATCTCAAATCTCTTAATAATGACTTTTAAAACATCACAACTAATACTTAAACTATTAGGTCTTTTTCTGCTTTTGCCAAAATGTGACCATACCGGTTCTATTTAATTTCAAGAATGTGTTTTATTTCTATAAAATTTACCTCTTTTATACTAAGAATAATCTCATCTCTACCTAATCTCATCACTGCACTGAACACTGGGAATTCCTTTAACATTAGTTTTGAGTAAGGAACTTATTTTTTTGTAGGTTCAAAATTAGTTTAAAAAATACTTATTTACTTATGTGTTTGTTTTTATGGCTTATTATGGTAATGTCTACCAGTTATAAGCATTGGTAAAAAAATAGGAAGAGATACTAATTCTTCAAATTGCTTACTAAAAAAAATGCAATGCAATGTCAGAATGGATATCATGTTTCTTATGGAGAAAACACTTATGTAAGTGAACATCAACAAAAGTTTCCTAAATAAAATCACTATTGAGAATTTAAAGAACATATTAATTAAATGGCATTTTTTTCATAAGTTGAAGAAAGAGTAACCTCAAAAATAGTGTTGACGAAACAGTCCCACTAATGTTAATTCAGTAAAACTATTTGAAATGAACAGATTTAAGCTTTGAGTCAGACTTTTCTTCTGGGGGGATATTCTGTCAGCTGATTTACAGAGGAGATAACCCGTGTACAGAAAATTACTTTTTACCTATGAAAACCAGAGTGTATCAACAATACGTTTTATTAAGCACCAGCTAGACACTTGGAGTGACAAGGAAAGTCAGAATATAAGAATGGTGAGGTAATTACCACCAGTCACTTAGAACTAATTCTGTCTTTCAATATTTTGAGTGAATGAGTTGACCAGATCTTCAAAACAATATAATCTCTGCTCTAGAAGACCTCCATTTAAAAGAATATAGACAAATCTGTTGAAAGGGGGTCTGAGGGAGAAGGAGGGGAAGGAGAAAAGCTTACACTGGAGAAGAAAATGCTGCCAAGTGTTCTCAGTCACTTCTGCTATCCCCTTGCTTGCAGTGCCCAGCTGCCCTCAGAGGCCAGCCTAACAACTACACGATGGAGCCTCTCTGGGTGACAGGATCCCTCATTTCTCCCCTTTATTTTATAAATATCTTTCACACTTCATCCATACAATACACACAGTCCTTCTTGCTCTCCTGTTTTGAATTTCTAATGCTTGTTGTATTTATACTTATCACCCAAATTAGAGTTTGTAAAATACTTTACTACTCATTGAGGGAAGGGATATCTAACTGATTTGTTGAGTATCCTAGTATGTGTTACCAGTCTTATAATGCTTTATATATTAATTTTAGCGTATTTCCATTGAAGAGATCATTTAATTAGCTTATAGTGAAATATAATGGTCCCTGCTAAAATGTGAAAAAAAGATACATCTTAAATATGGAAATAGAAATTGATTAGAACAAGCTGAAATTTTATTATAACTATATATATATATAATCACTGTTTTTGCCTTCAAAGTTGAACTATTTTAGATATGATATATTTCTAATATCAAGTCTACTTTCACCTATTTTCTTATATCAAAAGTATGTGCCACACTTTCCTGAGCTCAGAAAACAATAATGACTTCAAATTATATCTGTTTCATATGCCATGTAGAAAAAAATGAAGAATGAGAATTAATAGTTATCGTGAGTCTAGGGAAAAGCCTGTTAACATTTCCTAATGTGTTCTTTTAAAAAGCTTTTTAACAAATAGCATTTAAAGTATATTAAATATAATAGGGCCCTTGGGAACTGGTAGAAATAGGTAGTAGAATATGGAATCTTGAAATTCCAAATTGTATTTAGCAAAGCCAATTGCAGTTTTACCCAGCTCATAAATCATTAATGACTAAGACGCTATTCTTAGTTAGGTTTTGGGGGGCTTATGGCTTTATTGTGATGACCTACAGAGTCGGGGTCTGTAGTCCTTAGTGCTTAGGCATAGCAATTGCTTGCTTTTAAAAAAATATCAAATTTGCTTTCCCAGAAAAAGAATTTTACTTTTCATGTTACTTAAGTTTTCTTCAGTGTGAGATTTACGGTTATCAATAATGTTAGATTATCTAATGCATAAGGAAAGTTACTAATTTTATTGAAAATAATTATTGAGTCCTAAGTAAGTATAGTAGAATGACCGTATATGCATGCGTGCACACACACACACACACACAGCATTAGGATGTCTTGGATCTGACAGATCTGAGCCTGCTATGACTTTCCAAGGTGGATAACATCTCCATCTTTAAAGATGAGTTAGAAGAATAAGAAAATAAATGCATTTTAGTTAGCTCATGCTCTATCAACTTTGTTAGCCTGAAAATGCATTCTTTTTCCAAATTTAAGAATAATTTTATGTAGTTCCATTTCTAGTGGAAAGACAGATTGAACTATGCTGGCCTGCAGTATCTGCAGTCTTGCCTTTCTTTTTATTTCTTCCTCTGAATAATGAGTGTGGTGGTCTAGGTAACATGATCCTGCTGACTTTCAGCATTGAAAAAAAATCCATGAAGTGTATTTGTAGTTCTCAAACTGGTCGTATTCACAAAAAAATCTCATGGGAATTTGGGCTTGTAGGTTTTGTTTTCTTTGCCATATTTGCTTGCATACTAACAGGATCAAGCTAACAAACGAAGGAGTTTGTGTTAGTGTATAAACTAAAATTAATCATGAGCCAGGGCCTTTGTAAATCATAGTTGAAAACACAGTGGAAGACTATAATGACTATGCTTGTTACCGTTAGATAAGCAGGAGAAATAATGAAGAGATTTCAACACTCATCGGTGGGTATTTTATGAATATCAACGACTGATAACAACCTGAGGAATTAAAAATCATTCGGCAAAGCTTAAGGAAGTTCAGTCTATGCATCTATAATTTCTACAAAGGGCTGTTTGTATCCCTTTACTTTTGGAATTACTCTTCTACCCTAGCTTTTGTCCATTTGAAAGACATTTCTGATTTCTTTTTCCCCCTGCTTAAAGCTCTTGGTAACTTTTATGGAAGAGTCTTGAAATGTTAACTAGACAAGCAGATTGATGGCTCTGCCATCGGCAGAAATTGAGATAGAAGCTGTTCCCTAGCTACAGTTGGCTTTGTTTTTTGGGTTTTGTTGTTGTTGTTGTTGTTGTTTGGTTATATCCTAAATTCCTCAGTTTGAGTAAGCAACCTTCCCACTTACATTCCAAAACCAGTTTATTTTGATTCATAATACATAATTAACATTTTTCAAAAAGATTTTAGAATCAGTATGCTATTTTTGGAGCAGCCATCAGCAAACTTTTTCTTAGGAGTCGTATAGCAAATATTTTTAGACATGTGAACCATAATGGCCTCTGTCCCATCTACTCAATTCTGCTGTTGGAGCATGAAAGCAGCCAGACAATATATAAACCAAAGGGTGTGGTTCTGCAATGAAATTTTATTTACAAAACTAGGTGGCCAGATTTGGATTCTAGGGTATGGAGTTAGTCAACCCCTATATGGTACACAGACTCATGCTCCCATCCCCCCAAAATGCCCATGTCCTAATCTCCAGAACCTGTTGTGTTCCATGTCAAAAGGGACTTTGCAGATGTGGATTAAGGGTAAGGACAATGAGATGGGGAAATTATCTTGGATTATCTGGGTAGGTCCAATTTAATCACCCGAGCCATTAAAAGTGGGTAACTTTTCCCTGTGGTTATGGTCAGAAATACAACAATAAAGATTCAACTACCACTGCTAACTTTGACGATGAAAGAAGAGGGCCTCGAGCAAGGGGTATAGGCAGCCTCTAGACGCTGAAAACAACCCATGGTTGCCAACCAGGAAGGAAATGTGGACCTTAGTCCTACAACTACAAGGAACTGAATTTTGCTG